TATATACAAGAGCTGGGGTCCAGGCCAGAGTACAGGAGCTAAGAGGATTTATCAGAGACAGAGGGGTTCAGAATAGGTAGATTGTCTGAAATACACTGTTAGGGGAGCAGGGGGGCAAGACAAGAGAGGTTTGCCCTGTGGGTCAGCTCCCTGGCCAGAGATTGAATTCCTGCTGCAGTGGCTGTGGGTAGCTTCATATTGGTGTGCTTTAACCCCGTGTGCCACCAGGAAGGCCCCTTCTCAGTCCTTTTTTTTTTTTTTTTTTAAGATTTATTTATTTATTCATACAGAACTGGGGTACAGGCCAGAGATGTGGAGGGTGAGAGGATTCACCAGAGACAGAGAGGGAAGCAGAACAGGCAGATCTATGAAGTACACTGCTGAGGGGAGCAGCGGGCGGGTCAGGAGAGGTTTGCCACGCCGTGTGGTCACCTCCGGGGCAGGCGGGGATCGAACTCATGCGGAAGTGGCTTTAGTTTCTCAGTGCAGTGCTTTAACCCGCTGTGCCACCAGGGAGGGCCTCTCAGTCCTTTTTTATAGAGAGCAGGAATGAATGTCTCCCTTCTTCACCAGGGAGATGCATGGGATTCAGGCCTTCATCTTACAGTTCACTTACCCTATAATAAGTCTATTTCATCCAGAACTCAAGGGTAAGTAGGCATTTCACCCAGGAGAATATATTCTTAATATTCAGCCTTATTCTAGGGTAAGTGGAACAATGGATGTTTCTTCACTATATCCACATAAGTAATTTATATCATCTTCAACAGTCTCCAGAAATAAAAGGATAGATACAATCTGCAGTGAATTTTGAAGGCAAAATGACTTGGTAATATTTCTAGCCCCCTCTTCCTACTTTAGGGTCATATGGACTTAGACCAGAGAAAAAAGGATGGCGAAAGCAAAAGGAGTAGAATTTGATTGGATTGCAATGACTGAACTGAATAATCAGGAGGAATCTCCAGTGTGTTGAAGCACATCAAAACTGACCCTACTCATCTCATCTTAAAACTTTTTGCTCTCCTTTTGACAAAGAAACAGATGCCAAGTGAGCTGTTATCATTGCACACTACATTTTCACAAAGGGCATTAGAAGTGACTGCCACTTAAAACTCACTATATTTTTAGAGAAAGTTAACTTCTATTTCCCTCTACAAAGTATGCCACAATAAAACATATTGTAAAGATTTGCATCAATTATTTTCTTTAAGTAACATTTTCTTTACTTGCGCCAGCTTACTAAGCCTTTTCATTCTGCTAATGGGAGAATGGGAGGGTTTTTTCTTATTTTCTGTGGGTCTGCTAATCCTAAGTGGCCCTTGGGCCATAATTTTGCTACCGGCAGTGCTGCATTCCTATACAAAGTCAGAACTGCCTTTCGGTAACCGGTCAGTCAGTCATAGGAGTCAAACCTTACAAGGTGCCTTTCAACTCAATCAAAAGAAGAAATCTTGATCACCCTTGTGTACATCAGAAGGTATGATCAAGAACACCCAGGGAGCTGATGACACATGCTTACACTTACCCTGACTCATATGTCACAAGGTATGGCCAGGAATGCCCAGGGGGCTGAGGACCTTGTTGGGTCCTTTGCCTGGACAGACCTCCCCACCTCCCCCACAGAATCATATGCACACTGTTGTGTGGAAACAAAGAATGAGCCATGGGTGCTGGAACAGAAAAACAGGAGGCAGGAAGTGTTCCTGCCTTGTGTTTGCTACCTTGTGTTTACGTGACTGTTCTTTGACCCCCATGTTATGGTCGCATGTTATTGATGCACTTGCTGAGAGCTTCTGCCAACCCCCAACCCCAGGCTCCATGCTGAAGGGTATAAATAGGGAAGGAGAGAAAAATAAAGTGTGCCTTTGCTTGCTGACCAAGAAGTGTGTGCTTTAATCCTGACGTCCTTCGCTCAGACCATCTCTGCTGTTGTGCTGGTGTGGCAAACCTGATATATGACAAGGGACCCCAGAAGCTGATTAGTGGAACACCTTGTTGATAAGATTTAAACCCTGACTGGTGAACTAGGGCTGATCTCAACTACAGTACTGAGTCATCAGTGGATAAGAAGTACCTGAATAGCAGGCTCATAATCTGATACAATAGATGGACAGTTCCACACTTTTCCTTTTTCTACTCCCTTTTACAATAAATACTCTATGATTATTCTATCAATAAAAAGGCCAGGATCTTACTCTTGAGCAGCATCCTGCATTATGTAGCCTGTTCCACGACTCCTGTTTCTTTAGCAGTGTGGTGGTGTTCAAGGCAACAGTTTTCTTAAAATATTAGTCTAGGTTCCTTCCTGGTGGTGCAGCAGGTTAGAACACAGCAAGTGAGCTATAGTCACTGTAATGTGAGTTCGACCCCCATCCGGGAGGTGATCCACATGGCGTGGCAGACTTCTCCTGACCAGCCCTCTGTTCCCCTCAGCAGTGTACTTCATCCATCTACCTGTTCTGCTCCCCACTGTCTCTCATGAACCCCCTCACTGCCCCTCACTGCCCCTGCACCTCTGGCCTGTACCCCAGTTCTGTATGCATAAATAAATAATATATATGTATATATATTAGAATATATGTAAATATATATATATATTAGTCTAAATAATAATCAATGAATATCAGACAAGTAAAAGAGATTTAGAAAGGGCTAATTAATTAGGCTCTAGATGAAAAAAGACCCAAGTATCCAACTCCTCAGTTGGAGGGGCTGCTAATGCCTACAAGATATAATTTGTTTAGGGGGGGTCTATCTTCTGGCAGAAGGGTAGAACTAGGTGGAAACTTAACTTTCTGGTACCTCAAAGCTCATAAATTGGTGAAGATTCGAGATGAGTAGCAGCTATAAACCTCGGGCTCCCCTGAGTAGTATGGCTTGTGCCCCCATAAACCAAGTAGTAGAAAGGCTGTTAGAAAACTTCTAGCAAGGTCCCCAGTTTCCTGAGCACCCCAATCTTCTACTTTCATTTCTGTTACTATTTCACTTTATGATTTAAAAGAAATAGGTGATTTTATAGCTTAAAACAAATAAAACTATGTTGTAAAAGTCAAAGCAAGAACAGATAAAGAGTAAAAGTTTAAATCGGTGATAAAAGCAGCACGGGGACAGGGAGATTTTGACCACAACTGTACTTGTGTCTGGTTCGGTGGTGCTGTTGGGAAAGAGGTGAGCCTATCTATCCTTCCGCAGCCATTCCGCCACTGTTACAGGACAGCAAATCTGTTTCAGGACAGGGGAAGAGGGACACCCCTGAAGCCCCAAACCTGCCTGCTCTAAGTGGGTTCTACCATCTGCCGCGTTAAGACAAAACCTATAAAACTTTAATGAAAAAGGGACTTAAATACAGTAAATATACAATACGGAACACAAAGAATATAACTTCTAAATCAAACACCTGAAGTTACCCATCCCCT